GAGCAGATGCCAGGGGCTTAGGTGGAGAGCAAATGTTTTGAGAATGATGAGGGCAATGAATGTACAAATGTGCTTTACACACTTGATGTATGTATGGATTGTGATAAGAGTTGTATGAGCCCCTAATAAAACTATTTAAAAAGAAGAAAAAAAATTTTTTTTAAAGAAAAAAATTTAAAAGTTACTCTTGAAACCCAAGGATAGTCTTAAAAATTGGCTGCCAGAAGGAATTTTTCTTAGGGCTCTCTGTGATAATTTCTTTGATTATAAAACACGGGCCAAAGCCATCAATCACTCCAAGGGAGACAGATTAGACTTTCTACTCCTGTAAAGCTTTATAATCTCAGAATACAAAACACGGGCAAAAAAATGCCTGTTCAGCTCTGCAGGTTTTGATGTGTAAATACCGCACTACTTGATGGTGATGAGGGTTAGGCAACAGGCTGTTAAGTGGAAGGCTGGTGGTTTGAAACTTGCAGCCATTCAGCAGGAAAAAGATGAGGTGTCTGCTCCAGTAGACTCACAGTCTTGGAAACTGTGTGCTGGGTTACTATGAGTCAGGAACAATTCAATGTCAGTGAGTCTGTGTTTTTGTCCAGTTTCTAATGGACTTCGGCCCTCGGCCCTCTTCCCATTCAAGACCTGATGCTATCCTTGCTCATGAACAAGCCAAGCATCTTCTCAGGATAACTGTCCAAGCAGGCACTGGTGGCAGGCCAAAGCCACACTACCTGCTAATGTCTGCAAACTGAGAAGAATCACACCTCCAGTGAGACAGGAAGGCTTTTACTGACATGACAGCTGCTGAGGTTAACTGTTGAAGTGTCACTTCCATGAATGACATGAGTCCATAAGAGACCGTGTGTCCATTCCCCCACAAACAGGGTTCAAATGTCACACAGTGTACATATCACAGCAAGGCTCTGGACTTGGCCTATCTGCTCCCAGCCTGCAATCCATCCTAACCGCCAACTCTGATGAACGATCATTCCTTTCACCAACGACTTACACATTTGTTCTTGCTCCCCTTCCAGAACAAACACCAGCCAGAAGAGAGTTCACAAAGACCCGAGGGGGGGGGGTGCAGGGGGAGGAGCGTAATTTTCCAGATCCTTCCCAACAAAGGGCCCGCCCCAAAATTCCAACCCCTGGGTGCAGAGAGGTAGGGAGATGGCTTTCTCCTCAGGCCGACACCTTGAGCTTCTTCTTTTTGGCCTTCAGCACGGGCGGCAGAGAGATCTTGAAGGCCGTCCTGAAAGGAGGGGAAGGTTTTGTCAACGGTCTTGTCGTTCCCTGTGACCCAGCCCCCCAGCAGCGGCAGAGACTCACTCGCACGTGGTGCAGATGGGGCTGAAGTTGCAGAAGACTGTGGAGTCAGAGGGGGAGAGGGGGCAGTGATTGAAACCCAGGCTGCTGGCCCATCAGGGCCCTGCCCACCCCCACCCCCCACAGAGCGGCCCCGAGCTCACTGGACAGGCACACGGAGCACACATAGCCGATCTCAATGAGGGTGCGGTGGCAGAAGCAGGCTGCCCGGTAGTCCACATGAATCGGGGGTGGGAGGATCAACTGAGAGCGCTGGTCTTGATCCGGAAGGAAAACCCACTGTGGGAAGGGGCAAGGCAGGTTTACTTCCCTGGAGTCTGAAAACAGAGCCAAGCTGCCCCGCAGGCTTTCCCAGGCTTACATCCACTGTGTAACTCGTGGGTCAGCGTCTCTGGGCAGTGCAACTGGTTAAGAGCTCAACTACTAATCACAAGGTTGATCGTTGCAGCCCACCCAGGGACAC